ACAGATGTAACGCGCTACACCACCTGCCTTCTTTAGAAGCGTGGAATAGAATGCAAGCAGATTGATTTCCTTTTGTTCCTTAATATTTTGAATAGCAACAAGATCCAAGGGGTGAGGGAAGATATATCATGAAGTCCTGTCTCACCACAGAGAACGAAAGCTGGGTTTACAGCGAGAGGAAGGTGAAACAACAATTTTCAAAGAGTGGCGAACTTAAATTTCCACATTAGACTGCATGACCTTACAGGAGAAGAGAGGCAGATTCGGCGACCGCTTAGCAAGAGTTGTAACCTGCTTAGTCTTTGTGACCAACTTAAGGGTGATGAGCTACAGGATCATAAATGCCCTTCAAAATGAAACCAAGATGAGTGTCCAGCTGCATCTTCTCTAGTGCGTACAAAACTGGATGGACATGCAGACTGGTGGAGGACAGAAATAACCACCAACTTCATCATTGTTTAAAAAAGAATTTTCTTTATCACTCCCTGTAAAGTTCCTAGCATTGTCTAGGAATATTAGCAGTGCTGAGCAAATGCTGGTCATTATCAAGTCTTAGCAAATGAGATAATAGATGTGAAATACACAAAAATGCGGGGCAGAAGGTAAACTGGACTACCATTAAGATTATTTACAAAGAAGTGCCCAGGTAACTTGTGTAACATTCACAGTCAACCACCAGATCATGATAATGTTCATTTCTTAGATGATGCCTACCTAATAAAAAAAATCAACATGTTTTGTTCTTAATATGTAGGCACTTCAAAAACCAGGTATGACTGCGTACACCTGTAAACCAAACATTTTGGAGGCCGAGGCAAAAGGATTGCTTTGAGTAGCCGGCTACTCAGTGAGTCCAAGGTTAGACTGATGTACACAGTGAGATCTGGTTTGCAAAATAAAATTAGATACTTCAATGTTGCTTTGTTTTCTGTAAAATAATATAGAAAAATGTTGCTTGGTTGACATTAAAGAGTGTTTAAGACAATAGAAAAATCTTTCAGAAAGGTAATGAACAATTATACATGTCTAAACATACACACACACTTAAACCAAAAGAACAGATGAAATCCACACATACTATGACAGAGTCATGTCAGGGAACTTGAGGGCTGAGGATAGAAAAATGCCAATAACACACATTCTAATTCACTCAGCAAACACTTATCAAGCCTTGAACACAAAGGATAAAAAGTGCCCTTGTCTTCCCCAAGGCTGCAATTCTAAGGCCAAAAACAAAGCCCAAAGCCTAGAGAACACCCTGCAGAAGCAGCACTTGTAAGCAAGTAAGAGCACAGAACAGGAAGCACTGCACTAGGGTCACATGATGCCATTTGAAGTTTGAGCAGGGAATGAGGTGACAGTGTAACCAGCACGGCCACAAAAGAGTCAGATCTCTTGTGGACCAAGATCCAATCGCCTCCAGATTAGGAAATTAATTACTTTTCCCAGCATAGGAAAGCTTTTTGGCCAACTGAGGTTTTACTCTCCTTAAATTTCATGTAGCAACACGGCCACTAACAACCTCTCTAATTCACAGGGATGGCCTGAAGATCACGATCCTGTCTGTGAGACTCTCAAGAGAAAGGTGCCTTCTCCAAACTGTTAGAAAGGGCACAGGCAACAAAACTGTGGCCAGGTTTCCACAGATTTATCCATAACAACTGCAGGATCCTGCTTCTGAGTCTTTAGAACCCTTGAGTTTCATTCAAATCCATGGTTATTTTGGGGGCCCAATTCAAGGGTTACATATGAGTCCCAAGTCAAGGGTTATTTATTTCATATAATTTAATAAAAATTGTGCAGAATGTAGAAATAAGCAAGATCTTCTTAAAACTAACAATCTTCCAGTTTGGGGGCAAAGTCAGACTTACATCAAACAAAAAGAAAGGAAAAGATGTAGAAAAAGAGACAGAAAGTAAATAGCCTCATTCAAAACAATACCACCTCAAATGCATTTTTTTAAATGGTCACATCCTATAATGAGCACTCTGTAGAAGAATTATGCAGTCTAAGAAAATGAACGTGGGAAGTAATGTACCATGCATCTTATGAAGATTGACAATGCCCTGGTGACATTTCAAAGTCTAGAAGTAATCTATCAAGTAAATACTGTGGTCAACCTAGCTTAACAAAACATTAACCAGCTGTTTGACCATGAACTCCACTTCATTCAATACACCTAATAGAATCCCATTGGAAACCCTGATATAAGAGCAAAATTTTTACCTGAGGGAGAGAAAGCCCAGTGTGTAGTACCCAAATCAATTCTCAATTCAGAAAGTTCTATTTTTTTTCACTTGAGACTGAATTGGCTACCACAGAAAGAAAGAAATCTAACTCTTCCACAACCTCAGGAGAGCTATGCCACTCCTCTGCACCTTCCTGGTTCTCTTTCACCTTGTCTCTCTTTTTACTAATAGACCTTCCTTTTTCTGAAAACCCTGAGCAGTTTTCTATACCCTTCTTGAAATGCCAAGAAAATTCTGCCTAGGTCTGCTTTGTTTATTTCACTTTGAGATTGCATTCTAAGTTTGTGTCCAGACTATAGAGTCCAAGAGTTCTGATACATTCAACACATTAATATAGAGAAGCTTCTGGGTGGTAGAGAGAACATTTTCCTTGGTACCAGGGACTGGGCCAAGATCCCCAATTGCCTGTATCAAGGGTATGCAAGAGGATAAAATAAGAAACAGAGCAAATTTAATAATTGAGGATGAGTGACTAGGAAGTCGATGCCTCTAGATAGACCAAGAGAACAACACTGAAATACAGCCACTAGCTATTGGGTAAATCCAGTGATAATTGGGGCTAGAGAAAGATTAAAGTTGGCAGAAGACTCAGAAGCCTCACTCAATGGGCAAGCATAATCTTGGGATGACTCAAGATGGTGGAGATGATCATATGCTATGAAGGATCATTCCCTGGAGTTCTTTTCTTTTTTAGATTAATGGTCTTAGTTTCAGTTTTAGTGGGTTGGAGAGGATAGCCCATCCCTAAAGTGTTAATGGAAAATCTCAAATGGGTGATACAGATAACCCCAAGCCTCCATTCATCCCTTAGGGAAGTATGTAAAAATTAGCCATTGTGAATTTATGGTCCCCAATACATATTACTTCTCTCTTCTACACTCTACTAGTCACATTTTTGTGGTGTAGGCTGGAATAATTTATGCAATTCCTCTAGATCCTGGTACACTTATCAATAAAGTAGGGTAAATAGGAATTTGTTGCAAAGAATGTTACAGGTAATGTAACATAATGCACTACGTAATGTTCATTTTAAAAAAACCTTCATAAATGGCTCAGTGTGGTGCAAATATGAGGTTCAATGCAATACAAATACTCCTACTTTACACACTTATTCACAGCTACACTGCATTTCTCAGCAGGGCTGAGGCCACCCCAAGGAGCAGCTTCTTAGTGGTTAGAATATGGCACTGTCACTGAGTTCTGTGACTCCCTCTCAGCGAGATCCTCTGCCCACAACATAAAACTATCTTCAGACATTAGACTTGGTCTGCGCCCAATGTGTAAGCTGATGTCAGTTTCCCTTTCACAGAATATTTCTTTGAAGCCTCCTGTAGTCTGCCAGAACTGACTCCCTGAAGACCACCCACTCCAGGTTAAGGAGACCAAGGAGGTCTCCCCCAATCCAACCTTCAGCACCCAGCATCCGCATCCTGACTCACACCTTAGAGTTTCTGTGCCTTAGTTTTCACAACTACATTCCTTACAAAGAGTTAAAGGCAAGCATTAAATTAAGTCTTTTGTGGAGCACAGAGCGTACTGTGGGCTGACACGGTGCCGGCTCTGAGCACATAGCACAGCCTTTTCTACTCACCTGTTCTCCATCCACTGCAGCAAATGTTCTGCTGGACAACCTCCCCAACCTCATCCCCAGTCTTGTCTGTGAAACACAAAGCTGATATTCCAAGTCTCATCGGGAACTCACAGAAGCCAAAGAAGCAGAAAAGTAAAACCAGCTCTGAAAAACACCATGTCTGAATCTAAAGTGTTAAAGAAAATCCTCTAGGAATCAACACTGAGGAGGTCTGTGTGAGCCTGTGTTCCTGCTGAGAAAATTCTATGGCTTCTTTCACTAATTTTTGGGCACCAGAATCATCCTGACAGATGGCAATGTGCGCCCACCAGTCCCATAGTCTGGGCCATGACCTCAGTCCACCAGATCACACTGGACAGAGTGAAGAAGTGGGGAACTGACCACAGCTCTTTTCATGTGCATTTGGCATTTGTGACTTTATTGCAAATAACCTAAGACTGTGCAGTCCACCTCACAAAGAAATGGAATTGTGCCTGAATATTACAGTGCTATTCTTTACCAACCCATACACCATTACAGATTTGAGTGACCTAGTTTCAACAAGTATGCTTTGCCTCCACCACATACATACTCCCAAAATACTGACTTCCTTCTTAGACAGGTGTTCTAGCAATGCCTAATATGAGGTTTTAAACTGTGTTGCCAGGGAAATTGAGCAGCATGTGTACTAAAACGTACTGACAGAGTACAAGGAGAGATATTTTCTGGCTGCTCTATAAGCTTTTCAGGGACTTTTTTGCGGCACAAGACTGATGAAAAGAAATCAAGTACTAAATGTGAAGCCTCTGTGTCAAATGTTAAAGGAATGCACAGGTTTTATTATGTCCCAGGCATCCCAAAACTTCAACCCAATATGGATCTCCAACTTGCATATAGCTAATTATATACTTGTGAGTTAAAAATCCTATTCTTTTAATTAACCATGCAAATCCTGGCTCTATCCTATAGTTCCTATGGAATATTGAGCAAGTTAGTTAATCTCTTTTTGCCTTAGTTTCTCAAACTATAAAATAGGGAGACTAATAGTTCCTACTTCACATGTTCAATGAGTTCCTACTTCATATGCCTATATATTCATATATATATATATATATATATACGCTAAAACATCATTTTTATTAGTTTTAGCTGCACAATGAAGTTCTGCCATGTTTACTCACATTATTATTGATTATACAAATCCATCCATGCACCATGAGAACGTGATGTGAGAAAGGAATTACCTGCATGTAGAGAAAGATCAGAATAATGAGGTTAGGAAAGGGATTTTAACCAGGGGTGACTGAGTATGAAGACTTCATTATATTACAGCTGGGTCCTGAAAAAAGATTTTATTCTTCAATGAAGCCATGCATAAGAAAGGGAGACATTTAGGGCAAAATTAAGATGACACAAAGCAAGACTCGATTGAAAAATGCTAACTAGGTGACTATTACTGTGTAGATATGGAAGTCCCTACAAACCATGACTGAGGAACAGAAATGCTTTTTCTGTCCTTCATTTCAAGGACATCTACTACTGAGAGTTGCTCACCATATCAATGGATGGTACCACTTCCTGCACTCAGCAGCTGTACCACTCTGATGACACCAGTGGATAGGACATTACCCAACTAATGGGGCCATAGAAAGAAACACCAACCATGACAACACTGACAATCCAAGAATGGATGCAGTTCCCATTAGCACAAAAAATACGTCCCAAATGCTTTGTCATTCATGAAGTTTTCTTTTTACACACATACACTGAAACCTTTTAAGACTGCAAGAACTTAGCGTTTAATACTAATCTAGTTTTACAGACACTGTAATAATTTCCCCATAGTTCAAGAGACAATAAATGGGGAAGCCTCTATTCAGACTCAGATACCTTGACACTAAGTCTCATGATCTTTCTTTCCACTGTGTGCTCTCTATCCGCTCGTGTGATTAATACTTTAAACATTAGTGGTAAAGACAACAGACCATGGAGACACATGCATTTCTAACACAATTTGAATTTCTATCATCTGCTTAGCAAAGAATGTCAGCATTTGTCCTGTCCCAAGGAAAATCCCGTGTCGCCTCATGTCATTGATCTGTAACTGTCTTCAACAAAAGGACCTGAGCACCTGCCATGGCCCTGGGAATTTTAAATAAGAAGTCAATGAGAGATGCCAGTAAGTGGTTCTGTAATTGTCTAGGGGCAGATAAAACCTAGGTGGAATAATAATCATACCAATATGCCTGCTACATGAGTGATCCTGCAGTGAATTACAACAGGGTACTTCCACTCCGAAGCCTAGGCTGGCAGATCTGCATAATTAATCTCACTCTGCAATAAGCCCGGAGGGTCAGCAACATCGGAGTTCTGCAGCTGAAATTAATGTCTTATTATTTCAGTCCCCTTTGGTGTTTCTAGGATTCAGGAAAATAATATCAGATGCAGCAGCTCTGTTGACACAGACAGGGTATTTAAGGGTTGCCACATTATAAAACAATTCCTCATGCAGATTATGATAGACAGAGGATGGATTCAATACTTAGTCCTAAAAAATATAGTTACCAAAGGCAAGCCTATCCAAAACATTTGAATTTTGTTCTTTAATTAACTTAGAACCTTTGAATAGTCTGTTGTGTCTCATCTGGGTTTCCATGAAAGTGCTTAAAAAGTTATGATTGGGTATTTTGCCTTCATTCTAGAGAAATACTCGTTATAAATATTAGGTGAACTGTTATGTTTAGAAGTTATCTCTTTCTAAAAGACTTCTCAGGGTCTTTTAAATGCTAATGCATATTGTACAGCTAAATTACCTAGGAATAATTTACAGTGTTCCTCAAATCTAATTGACTTGAGGAGTTCTTCCTTAGTAATATTGCTGAGCATTAGGATCTTTGCCACAGTTTAGAAATGCTGACTGAAATGTTTTGAAAAAAGTGGGGGAGGTTTGACTTGTAAGGCATTCCTACAAGAGACCTCGCTTTGAGAAATTCCTCCAAATTCTCCCACCAGGGTATAGTGCTCCCAGCTGCAGTGGTTTTGTAGTAAGGGTCATAAATTCTTAATTAGGAAAAAAGCAAGAAATTCAAATCAATTTTCTAATTTCCTAAGCCAGTCTATGGCAAGCTGATAGAGGAGCCATAGCATAATGATTAGCTAAAATGAGCCATGAGACACACTGGTAGGTTTAAATGTGATAATGCTCTGCTCCGCCAGTACAACTAATTGGAGGTGATTATAATTTCCTTTCTTCTAGGATTCTGGATACTTAAAGACCAACTCCAAACAAGACATCATAGGGAAAAAGCTATAAAACAGAGGAATCTTTCTTCCTCCAATTTTAAAAGGAGTCATCATACATGGAATCTAGCAAATAACCCCTTCACCTAGCTGACCTTATGATATAATAGAAAAAATAAATGTCACATCACTTTCAGTTCTTCTGCCATTTCTAAAAGAAAAGAAAATGCAAGCCTTCATTAAACTGACCAAGAAAACCAACAGTTATTGCATGTAAATATTCCATTCACTGATGCAGAAAAAACCAACTGAAATCATGTTCTCTAGAGCCAAAGGAAGACATGTTTGCCACACCACAAATGAGAATGTTGTTAAAGTCTTAGGTAAGCATTAGGTGCTGTAAGGACAACTGTACAAGTTGACTGATGACAAGGACCAAAGCAATTTCCCAACATAGCACATCCTAATGCTATTTCCCTGCTGTCCTTCATACGACATTCTGTATCCTCCAGGACCTGGCAGCAAACTTCACTTTCCAATCCTTTCACACATCACCCGGATTCGTGCCTCAAGTACACATACAGATAGGCCAATAAATCACCCCGGTCCTTCCTTTCCCCTTAATCGTTCCTTTTGTCTGGAATGCCCTTCTTCCCCTGTTCACATATACAAATATCGCCCATCCTTTAGGACTTAAACCTTTCATTATGCTTCCCTTACAGTACCAACCACTTAACTTTTATGACAGTTAAACGTGTATGCTATCTCTCCTGAGACTCTTGTAGACTGTCTAGATCTACCTTTAAGACAGTATACTTTGGTGTCTCAGGTCCTATCATGAATTTGAGCACACAGAAAGTTCTCTGGACTATTGATTGAATGATTGCAGTCCTCTTAGTAGAGTAATTCTACAGGCTATTTCTCAGTCCAGAAAAAAATACTATACCTTTTCCACTTTTTTTTTTTTACATGTTTGTCTCTGAACATTCATTTCTTTACTCAGATCATCTTTACTTATGCGTTTTCTCACTAAAATTGGTCAATTTACATTCAACAGAATACCCTGGGTTTGTCATTTGCCATCAGTCAATTCGAGCCTTAGTTCAGCTTTATAACTCACACATTTGCATCTGTTACATGCATGGTGACACTGAACACAGTCACACAGTAAGCTACCACCCAAGTGACCATGCAGGGAACTCTGGGAATTAGACCTAGAATATCGCTTATTTTGGATGCACACAGCTTGATTCAGCATTATTGCATCTTTTTACCAGGATGAAATCCCCTGAGAATGCTGATGCTGAGCAAAAATAAGTCGACTCTCTTCAGTTTGACTCCACATGTTGCAGTCCACGCCTGTGTCTCACTGCTGTTTCAAACTCCCCAGAAGCCAAGAGGAAGAAGCTGGATTTAGAAAGGAAAGGCTAATGGGAGGCCATACCAGAAATCCCTTGGGTTTCACAAGATCACATCCCAAACTCTGAAACCTGAAGACTCTGATTTTAACCATAATTTTTGAAAGGAGAGGTGAATATTATCAGAGATCAGAGAGAAGTAAAGAGTGGGGAGATTATACGCCAAGTCAGGTGTACACACAATAAAGAGAGAAACTTCAAAAATTTAACTTTGAGAACAACAGCTGTTCACTAAAAATTTTTCTTCCACATTCCTACTCTATACAACGTATCTTACCGATTGGAAATAATTTGTGCTTTGACAGAATACAGTGATGCTTCTCTTTCATATCTTATTTCACTTGATATTCACACATATTCAAAGGGGACCATAATTCTCCTATTTCACAGATGATGAAATTAGGCCCAAAACACTGAAGTGTCGAACAGTTACACTCTTCACTCAAGATAGCACCAAAATCAAAAGCAGAGCTTGGTTTTAGATAAAGATCCCTGACTGCACCAGATTGTCTGCCCTGATTATTTGAGATCATTCTCCCCAGCGCTCAGGGCAGGCTATAAAACAAAACATGAAGGAAGTGTTCAATATTTAGTTTGCTGGGTGTTTCACAAAATAATCCAAAAGATCAATTAAGATAAACATTCATTGGGGCAAAGGTCATGGAGAGATGCCATAAAAGGTCTGAGTTATAAGCAAAAATATACATTACATTAAAGATGCTTTCTTTATATTATTATTTTGAGAGTAATGGAGTGGCACAAATGAGACATTTCTGAGGGAGCCGTAAGGCTTTAGACTATTTGTAATAAGGGTAACACCACTTACATAAATGGTGGCACTGCATTCAAAGGCTTTAAAGATGTTTTTCCAAGGGGCTGGCCAAGAAAACACATTTGTCTTTCAAACGCTGCGAAAACACAACTCTCCATAGACAGCTCATAGGTGGGATATTGAAATTTCATGGGCAGCTTTTGAAAGAAGGTTAAAATGTGAATGCTATTGGTTACCAGGGGCTGAACGGAGGAGGAAGAGTTAGAGAATTAGTGTTTTCAGGTCCGTTTCAGTGAGAAGAGAGGGAAGAGTCCCAGATACAGATGATGTAACTAGTTGCACAATACTGTGAATAGACTGTGTATAGACGTTTATGATCAGAATAAACATAAAAACATTAAAATGCTAGTAAATCTTAAAATCAGATGCCATCATGAAGGTATAAAATTGGTTACATAAAGTCAAACACAAACTTCAGCTGAATATCTGATTGACCTCAAACTCAGGAAAAAAGTAAGATTGTATTTTGAACAGCATTAAACTTAGAGAAAGATACCATACCCTTCATAGAGACAAACACAAATGAAAATTAACAGTCTTAACTCTCCTTGATGAAACTAAATGAAGAATTTCCTACCCTTTCCTAAGACCATTTACTCTAAAAACCTTGTAATTGTTAGGTACTTTCTCCTCTCTTTGAAGTGCAAACAAAGCCTTTTGAATCCAGACGGGCTTCTGTCAGCTTGTGACCCAGGAATGCCTTTTGCAAAGACTTGGAGGCCATCTCTTTGAAAAGAAGATGTAAAGAGAGATA